ATTGACTTGGATAATGCCTCCTCAATATTACCTTGTAATTCAATTGATAGTAGGAACATCATAGAATCTAGTCTTATTAAACATACCGAAGCATTCAACATGAATTTGAGTAATGGCATGTACAAACTGGACAATTTTGTAATTAAGAAGATTTGTAACCAAGTGAGAAGGTCGGGTCACCTTACCATCTGACCTGACCACCAACCGTTGTGTGCTATTTAAAGATTAGTAGGGTCATTACCTAATACCTGACCATTGTGGACCTGGTCTCACCCTCCTCTGTATATATACACCTTGGTTTGTATTTCTCTTTAGTCTGTACTCACCCCTGAAGATGTGAATTACACGAAAGCGCTTGGGAACTTCGTGTTTTCTTCTTTCCTTGTGGTTATCAGCACATACATACATACATACATACCTTTTAAAATGATTTCATCTCTACTTACTTGTTTAGGTGGCGTGAGATCCCGATAGCTGTTCCTGGTGTTAATCTAAGCCAGGGGTCACCAAACTACGGCCCGCGGGCCGGATCCCAAGTCCTTCCCCGGCTCGTGGTAGCTCCGCCTACGCTCTGACGTTACCAGAGCTTTCATTCTGGCTTGCAAGTATTGAACAGAATGATTATGCGGCCCGCGCTCGTCATTCTTTCAGTTATCCGGCCCACTGTGAAAAAAGTTTGGTGACCCCTGATCTAAGCGATGAAAAACTTGTCATAAAGTTTTTACAAAAGTATTAGTTTGAGTTGACATAGTATTAAGTATTTTAATTACTAATATTGTTAATGTTGGTAATGATTTTAGGTTGTCAGATGTCACCACTATATTTATGACTATTGTATTTAAATCTGTTTATAGTTTGATCTTACTTATTATTGTACTTTTGAGGTTAAGTGATTAATTTATTGGTATTTTTTCTCACTTATCTGTCATTACATTATCTTATTTATGTTTTATTTATCAAATTATAACTTATTAATCCTTGTGTTTATCTTTTGCATTCACACGTATCACTTGACTTCACTACGTCCGTATTTCTAGCACTTTTTAACCTTATTTTAACTTATTTATCCACTTTACAGGTATTTACATACTTATTGAGTCATTTTCGTGCACTTTTGTGTCGAATCACTGTCAATGTCCCGAGTATTTTATCACTAAATGTCAAATAAATACTTCAGGTTGTTCTCAGTCTCTTAGCAGATGACAATAGCTACCAAGGTAATCAATGTTAGAAATGATATATGAACAGGCTCATTAGAATAGATGTTTAAAGTTATCTAAACCATTAAACCGTAATTAACGTAACCTAATCTGACAGAAAATGATTTTTTGATCAGTTTTTTTTGTTTTGTAAAGTTAGGTTATATTAGGTTTGAATTACACCAAAAGAATAATGACATCGATGTTTTGTTCGTGATAATATATTAACATTGACCATCGGGCGGTTTAAATGACGGTAATATTGGTACAAAACATTTCCCCGTTTTCTGTGAAGTTATATAATTTGTTTCTTTGTTAAATTGTGGTTGAGATAATTATTTCCCTTGACTATCAATTAAGATATATAAAAAAAATATCAACAAACCAGTAAATAGATAAATATATCTCTTGACAGATTTAAATGGCAGATGACTGTCACTTGATAATTATATTTTGGTGGAAGTTTAATTTAACGTCTGAAGGAAATTATTTTGATTCAGGAAGTAATATAAAGAGAGAGAGAGAGAGAGAGAGAGAGAGAGAGAGAGAGAGAGAGAGAGAGAGAGAGAGCAGTTTTTCTCAAGCGAAAATTTTAAATCTAGATAAAACGCCGTGACAAAATTCGCCTAAACTTGATGTTGTTGACAAGTGAGGAATGGAAATAATCAGGACCCTTGTGGGGTATGATTTTGTTTGGTTCACACTCAGGATGGAATGGAGAAAGGAAACTCACACTGTGCTCTCTGTATATATGTTGTATTGGATGTACAATGCAGCTTGGTGCTGGGAAGGCAGCATGGTTACAAGCGTGATGTAGAGAGAGCTGGTTGGTGAGGATGCTCAGAGGAGGACAGCTTGTGGGTCGCCATGCTCGCCGGCGGGAGCGAGGACCACCAGCCAGGCGGAGGGGGAGGTGTTGCTGGCTGGTTGGTGTAGGTAGAAAGAGACAGGTCACCACGAGGTCAGGTCTTAAATAGCGGGGGGTAGGCGTGGCTTAGTAGTTGACGCCTGCTCCATGATGTATGGCGGCGCTGGTTGACCTAGACCACGAGGCACACACTGTGGAATTCGTGGGGTCGGCTACGCAGAGACAAACAGCGTTTGTAGGGGAGAAATCCACTACAATACTCCCCCTTCCCTCCAGGCGGTGTAGGAGACTTGTTGTCTGCAGGGTTGCATAGCACATGTGAAGCAGAACGGACGGTGCGTGCCTCATGTGAGACAACGGCGATGGCGATGGCGTGGATGAGCCGGTCGCTGGATACAACTGTCTAGATACACAATATCTGTGGGAGTAGAGAGGGAGAATAAGGGTGTGTGGAGGCGATGAATGCTGTGCTTCCCTCACGGCAGATACAGAGTTGTCAGATGCGCCTGCTGGGGTGTGTGGGCCTGGGTCAGGAGCAGGGGCTGCGACAGCAGAAGCGGATGAGGGCTCGTGACAGCAGCTGGGTCCACGACAGCAGCAGGGTGCAGGACATTAGCAGGGAGTACCTGAGGGAGAAAAGAGGGGTGTGTGGGTCAGCACTCAGGAACAGGGGCCGCGTCAGGAGAAGCGGCAGGGGGTACTGCTGGGCCGGGGTCGGCTTCTGAGGCAGGACGGGTGTGTTGGTCCGCGTCAGGAGCAGGGGCCGCATCAGGGGCGGCAGGGGTTACTGCTGGGCCGGGGTCGGCGTCTGAGGCAGGACGGGTGTGCTGGGGTCGGTAGGACGTAGTGCTTGGGGCAGGAAGAGGAGCTGGTGTCTGCTTAGAGAAGCAGTGCTGCTCTAGGGTGTCTAACCTGCGGTGTAGAGACAGTAGCTGTAGAGTCGATGAGAGCTGCTTCTGTGTGGATAAGCCAGTCTTCCATGTTGCTTGAAGACTGGGAGCGTGATCAGTTTCTCCTCCATTCTGTGTGAGTGCGAATCTCCGGGAGTCACCATTTGTGGGGTTTTTGGGATGTTTAGTTCACACTCAGGATGGGATGGAGAAAGGAAACTCACAATGTGCTCTCTATATACATGTTGTATTGGATGTACAATGCAGCTTGGTGCTGGGAAGGCAGCGTGGTTACAAGCGTGATGTAGAGAGAGCTGGTTGGTGAGGATGCTCACAGGAGGACAGCTTGTGGGTCGCCATGCTCGCCGGCGGGAGCGAGGACCGCCAGGCAGGCGGAGGGGGAGGAGATGTTGCTGGCTGGTTGGTGTAGGTAGAAAGAGACAGGTCACCACGAGGTCAGGTCTTAAATAGCGGGGGGTAGGTGTGGCTTAGTAGTTGACCCCCGCTCCGTGATGTATGGCGGCGCTGGTTGACCTAGACCACGAGGCACACACTGTCGAATTCGTGGGGTCGGCTACGCAGAGACAAACAGCGTTTGTAGGGGAGAAATCCACTACACCCTCCCCCCCTCCTTCCTTCCCTCCACCCTTTCTTCCTTCCCTCCTTCAATCCTTCCTTCCCTCCTTCCTTCCCTCCTTCCTTCCCTCCCACCACTCAATTTCTCCTCCTCTCACCTTCCTTCCCATCCCCTACACCCCCACCTCTTCACCTACCCCACTCCTTTCATCTACACCCCACCCTTTCACTCCCCTGCCCCCACCCACCCTTTCCTCCTCACCCCCACCACCCTCTTCATCCCCTCACCCTATATTTCCTCCCCTACTTCCACCCTCTTCCACCCTACACCCCCATATCTTCACCCCTCTTCCCCACCCTCTTCCTCCCTCTTTTCCCCCACCCTCTTCCTCCTCTTTTTACCAACTTTCTTCACCCTACACCCCACCCTCTTCACCCTCTTCACCCTCTTCTTCTCACCCCACCCTCTTCATCTACTTTTCCCCACCAACAATTTCACCCTACTTTTCACCCATCTTCCTTCCCTCTTATCTTCATCTCTTCCTTATCATTCACTCTCTTCCCTCTTCATCTTCTTCCACCCTCATTCATCTCTTGCCCTCTTCATCCTCTTCCACCCATCTTCATCTCTTCCATTTTTTTTTTGGGGGCATTTGGCACCTCTCTTCCTTCCCTACACCCCCCTCCTCCCCTACACCCCCCACCCCCATCATCTCACTTACCCCTAAGGTGACGTCAGCGAGGACACCCCCCACCCCCATCATCTCACTTACCCCTAAGGTGACGTCAGCGAGGAAGAGAGAGGGTCTTAGAGAAAGTAACATCTCACCTTTCACTTTCTTAGAGAAGGTAAAAAGAAAGTTCCCACCATAAGAGAACTTTTTCCCGGGTGTGTCGAGAAGAGACAGTTGAGAGACAGGATAAGGGGGGGGGAGATGGGAGAGATAGTTCATACCTTGCAGGCGTGTGTAGGGGGTCTCTCTGTCTCTCTGTTGGTCTGTTTGTTTCGTTGGGTGTCTCTCTTTCTGTCTGTATGTCTGTCTGTCTGTCTGTCTCTGTGTGTTGGTTTGTTTCTGTTGCGTCTGTCTGTCTGTCTGTCTCTCTGTTGGTCTGTTTGTTTCGTTGGGTGTCTCTCTTTCTGTCTGTATGTATCTCATATTATCCTTTTCTGTCTGTCTGTCTGTCTGTCTGTTAAACAAAGGTGTGAGATAATGAGACACTTCACTACTATCTTCCTCCTTCAGGTGTCTAATTACATCTAACACCTGCCGCACCTTCGTCAGGTATTGGGAGGTCACACAGGTAGACTACATTAATTAATACCCACCACCTTCCTCTCCCCAGGTGTAAAAAACTTAATTAACACTTACCTCCCCCCCCCAACAGGTGTTATGATACTGATTAATCAACTCCTTCATCCCCTCCCTAGGTATAATCATTTAATTAACTACCTGTATCCTTCATCAGGTACTGGGCGGTTACACAAGTCGATTACATCCACTCTAGAAACGGTACCCGCATCGGTATAATGATCCTCATGGTCTGGTTGACGGCGGTGGTAGTATCCATTGCTCCTCTGTTTGGTTGGAAGGATCCTGACTTCCTAGTGAGGGTGAATGAACATAAGAAATGTCTCGTGTCGCAAGATCTCGCCTATCAAGTGTTCGCTACTATGGCCACTTTCTATGTGCCTCTGACTGCCATCCTCATCTTATACTGGAAGATCTTTCAAGCAGCAAGGAAGAGAATACACAAGAGTAAATTTGGTGGGAAGAAAGAAGCCAAAAAGAAGGGGAAAAATAACAAAGGAAAGGTCAGAGAAGTGAGAGATGTTAGGTCAAAGGTCAGAGAAGTGAGAGATGTTAGGTCAAAGGTCAGAGAAGTGAGAGATGTTAGGTCAAAGGTCAGAGAAGTGAGAGATGTTAGGTCAAAGGTCAGAGAAGTGAGAGATGTTAGGTCAAAGGTCAGAGAAGTGAGAGATGTTAGGTCAAAGGTCAGAGAAGTGAGAGATGTTAGGTCAAAGGTCAGAGAAGTGAGAGATGTTAGGTCAAAGGTCAGATAAGTAAGAGATGTTAGGTCAAAGGTCAGAGAAGTGAGATATGTTAGGTCAAAGGTCAGAGAAGTGAGAGATGTTAGGTCAAAGGTCAGAGAAGTGAGAGATGTTAGGTCAAAGGTCAGAGAAGTGAGAGAAGTGAGAGATGTTAGGTCAAAGGTCAGAGAAGTGAGAGAAGTGAGAGGTGTTAGGTCAAAGGTCAGAGAAGTGAGAGATGTTAGGTCAAAGGTCAGAGAGGTTAGGTCAAAGATGAGAGAGGTTAGGTTAAGGTAGAGAGAGGTTAGGTTAAAGGTGAGAGAAGTCAGGTCAAGGATGAAGTTGGAATTTAATGTCTCTTTATCTATCAACATTAATTAACTCACCTGTTCATACTCCACACAGGGTCACAGAGGAGGCGGTGGCGGCGGCGGTGGTGGTGGTGCTGGTGGTGGTGCTAGTGCTGGTGGTGGAAGCAGCTGCGGGAGAGGAGGTGACACTAAGCCCAACGGGGTCACTGAACACCAGACCACCGCCTTTACCACCATCAACAGTGGCTCTCCTGATAAATCCTCCAACAATGGCGCTGTCTCCGTGTCCTCCCATGTCTCCGAGGTCTCTAGATTGGAGATGTTACCCAAGGAGGCTCCTAAGAAGACCAAGAAGGAGACTCTAGAAGCTAAGAGAGAGAAGAAAGCCGCTAAGACTCTAGCTATTATCACTGGAGCCTTCGTTATCTGTTGGTTACCTTTCTTCGTCACGGCTCTCTTGATGTCTATTTGTCCGGCGTGTTATTTCTCCGATGTGATGTTCTCCATCTTCCTCTGGCTCGGGTACTTCAACTCCACCCTCAACCCCATCATCTACACCATCTTCAGCCCTGAATTCCGGGAGGCCTTCAAGAGGATACTCTTCGGCAGAAAGAGTAACCAGAGGTACCGCCCGGGTAAAGTCCGCTAGAGAGTGTGTTTACAATGGTCTAGCATGGTCCAGGGTACCAGAATGGTCCAGGGTACCTCAGAATGGTCCAGGGTACCTCAGGATGGTCCAGGGTACTTAGAATGGTCCAATGTACTGTGTCCAGGGTACCTTAGGATGGTCCAGGGTACTCAGGATGGTCCAGGGTACCTTAGGAGGGATCCAGGGTACCTCAGGATGGATGGTACCTTAGGATGGTCCAATTCTCAGGATGGTCCAGTACCTTAGGATGGTCCTCAGGATGGTCCAGGGTACTCAGAGGTCCAGGGTACTCAGAATGGTCCAGGGTACCTCAGGATGGTCCAGTGGTCCCAGGATGGTCCAGGGTATAAGAATGGTCCAATGTACCTCAGGATGGTCAGGGTACCTTAGGATGGTCCAATGTACCTCAGGATGGTCCAGGGGTACCTCAGGATGGTCCAGGGTACCTTAGGATGGTCAGGGTACCTCAGGATGGTCAAGGGTACCTCAGGATGGTCCAGGGTACCTTAGATGGTCCCTTAGATGGTCAGGAGGTCCAGGGTACCTCAGGATGGTCAGGGTACCAGGACCTCTAGGATAGTCCAATGTACCTCAGGATGTCAGGTACCTTAGGATGGTCCAGGGTACCTTAGGATGGTCCAGGGTACTTAGAATGGTCCAGGGTACCTTAGGATGGTCCAGGTACCTTAGAATGGTCCAGGGTACCTCAGGATGGTCAGGGTACGGATACCAGGGTGCCTCAGGATGGTCCAGGGTATTTTAAGAATTGGTCCAATGTACCTTAGGATGGTCCAGGGTACCCAGTGCCTCAGGATGGTCCAGGGTACCTTAGGATGGGGTACCTAGGATCCCAGAGTACTTCAGGATGGTCCAGGTGCCTCCAGAATGGTCCCAGGGTACCTCAGGATGGTCCAGAGTGCCTCAGGATGGTCTAGGGTACCTTAGGATGGTCCAGGGTCAGAATGGTCAGGGGATGGGTCCTGTGGTACCTCAGGATGGTCCAGGGTACCTTAGGATGGTCTGTGGTACCTAGGATGGTCCAGGGTACCTTAGGATGGTCCATATAGGTACCTCAGGATGGTCCAGGGTACCTCAGAATGGTCCAGGGTACCTTAGATGGTCCAGGGTCCTTCAGGATGGTCAGGGTACCAGGATGGTCAGGTACCTCAGGATGGTCCAGGGTCCAGGATGGTCAGGGTACCAGGTCAGGATGGTCCAGGGTACCTTAGGATGGTCAGGGTACCTTAGAGTCCAGGAGGTGCCTCAGGATGGTACCTTAGGATGGTCCAGGGTACCTCAGGATGGTCCAGGGTACCTCAGGATGGTCCAGGGTACCTCAGGATGGTCCAGGGTACCTCAGAATGGTCCAGGGTACCTCAGAATGGTCCAGGGTACATGGTGTTTATTATCCTGGACAAAACAGGCCTCTAACTCTGGGATTTCAATGTACTTAAGTGTTTTAGGTGGATATGCCGGTTAGCATAAGTGTCTGTGTATGTGTTAAGTTGAACTCTCCCTTAGTACAGGAACGACAATAAGATGGAACTAAAAACACTGAAACTTCAAAGTGAAACTGACACAGAAACTAAAACTACTTAAAAAAAAACACTGGGTGGAAACTCAAGTCAATAAAGTCATATATGTGAGACGTTACACTGATTTAAAGTGGAATATAAACTTCGTAAGTGTTGGAAAGTGGTACATTAAGTCAACGTGTTAAAGTGGATTATTTAAGTGGGTATAAGTGGTCTATTGTTTCGTTAAGTGGTCTGGACAGGAACGAAAGATTATGTCAAGTTTTCTGAAATGTAACTTTTATTAAAGTCTCTCAAAATGGAAAAAAATAGAAGAGAAAAAAAGATATCGATAATAAACTCCTCCCCATCGACTATTTTAACGAGAGAGAAAAAATAACGAAAATAAATGAAAAACAAAAAACGAATAATTAATAAATATCCTTCTACGGACGACAGACACAACAGAAAACGGAAAAAAATATATATTAAATACAAGTCACACTCGAGTGAACAAAAACATCAAAAACAAACCCAAAAAAGATTAATTGAATGTCAGAAAATTTAATAAAAACTTAACAGACTTCAAAACATGAAAAAAAAAAGTTGTGTGGAATAACAAACTCAAAAAAATATATAAAAATAAACATTGTCAATACCGAAAAATACCTCCAAACCAGAAAATGGAATTAAAAAAAAAGAAAAATACTTCAAGGGGGACTTAGAAAATATTGAAAAAGTTTAGATTTTAAATATTTCAATGTCGTACAATACAGAGCTGGGATGTACTAATGTATGAATGTAATCTCCTAGAGCTTACATGTTAAAAAGGGCTCTATTTGAGTACCTATACACACACACACAAAAAAAAGCCTCCCATGCAACAGAAAACGAGAATATGCAATTAATATAAAAATGTGATTATATGTATGACTTAAGAAATTTTGACAACTGAACCATGTAAGTTTAATGCTACTTATAATAGTGAGTTACTTACAAATTACTTATGAAAACTAGCCATTGGGTATATAAGAATGGCTAGTGAAGACATAAGTGAAGAAATTACGTTGATAAATATGATGGATAATGATAAATACAAATAAACAGAGAGACACAATGAAGAGAAAGAAATGAGACACGTAAACCAACAACTTGATAAAAACCTTAAAAAAGAACTAATAAATTTGTTCATGAATAACACCAAGAACAAATCAACAAAGACAGATGCTCAAATGTGTTATATAAATAGTAGAAAAATGCTAAGATAAGTGTTAATTGGAAGACAAAACATATATGAATTATGAAGACAGGATAGATTTCATTATTAAGACGTCAATTACAGGTATCTGAGGCAATCAAGACATTATAAAAGGTATTTAGAATTCAGGGAACAGATACGAATTTCCGTGTAACTAAAGAACAAAAAATACCGCCAAAGATAAGAGCCTAAAATATGGTAAAGAGATTGAAAAACATTGAAGTAACTTGGAATGATATGTTGACAGTGACAAGTTTATCAGTACGTTCGTGTCTCTGTTATCTTAGGCTATGACCTAGAGAATGTACTCATATAAACTCATAAACTCACAATTCATAACTCACAACTCACAGCTAAAAGGTCAGACATACTCACAGATTTTAAAACCAGAGTGTGTGAGTGAGTGTGTGTGTGTGAGTCCTCTACTACCGACGCACCGTGCAAAGAACTACCAAGTTTCACAGGGACTGAGTACACAATGTAAACAAACATCAGCTGACTTGTGTTTACGTTCTCCTTGGCGGAAGCTGATTGGTCACACATCCCCTCCCTTTGGCATATGGACCAATAGGGAAGCTCATAGCCAAACCAGCGTCAACACAAAGAATTTCCCCAAGAAATATACATCACTATATCCTCCTCCTCCTCCTATACATATACATTACAGAAATACATAATATATACATATATATAAATCCATATATGTCAGTATGTATATAAGTTTCTCAACGGAATTATGTTTTAGTGGGTAACTCATATATTTTTATATTATAACCGATGAGGTAATATAGATGTTTTGGGGATAAATATATGTAACAAACATATGTACATTTATAGGTTAAAAATGTGTCCACCTTGTAAATAAGTGTGTCTGTGTGTATGTTGGTAATACGAGTTAACTGTGTAGAGATATTATCACATCTATATATATATACATTGGTTTCTATATATATATACATGTCCCCTTGCTATAAGAAGTGTATATGCGTTATATTAGATGATTTAGATTGCTATATATATATTATTTTCTTCCTATATACATAAAGAAAGATGATAATGCGTTCTTGTGTTCACTTGTTCACTTGTTCTTCAAAATTCTTCCATTCATGTAATTCAATGAACACATTTCTTAACCCCTGTGACACCCTGAAGGAAATAGGGAGAAGAGATGAAATTTATATCATATTGAAATAGGGACGAAATAGGTGCTTTTGAGTGAGTCCGAATTCTAAATGGGTGTTTATAGTGAGGCTGGTGAGAACAGGTAGTGGGGAACGTTATGAAGAACGGGTAGTGGGGATTACCAATATGAACAGGGAATGGGATTATTTTGACGTCACAAGCGGACAAACACAGGTAGTGGGAATATACTATTATCAGTGAAGAACAAACACAGGTAGTGGGAATCAACTAAGACCACTAACACAGGTAATGGGAAGGAATATCTACCAATCAGAGCTTGTTATGACCTCAGCAAATAGATTTACATATAAAAATAATATATTATTTGTTATATAATTATGTTATATTATACGACACGATGTTATTGATGTCTAATTACAATTTTATATAAGAGAAAGTTATATGTGTTTATAATGTATAATATATAACACTTCAATATAGATAAGATAAGTTTTTTATTGTACAAGTTGACAGAAATGACGAATATTTTAAATCAATAACCAACCAATCACCAACCAATCATCAAACAATCACTAACCAATCACCAATCACTGTATGTATGTAAGGATTGGTGTCTAAGGGCAAGAAATGGATTTATTGATTAGGGGAGATTGGTTGATTAGACCTTGGATTAGAGTCGATGTGATTATAATGTTATTCTTTAAATACCTATAAGTTGCTATTCACCATGGCGAGGGGTAGCTAAGGTCAGGGGTCATGACAGGGGTAGCCAAGGTCAGGGGTCATGATAGGGGTAGCTAAGGTCAGGGTCATGATAGGGGTAGCCAAGGTCAGGGTCATGATAGGGGTAGCTAAGGTCAGGGGTCATGGTAGGGGTAGCTAAGGTCAAGGGTCATGGTAGGGGTAGCTAAGGTCAAGGGTCATGGTAGGGGTAGCTAAGGTCAGGGGCCATGATAGGGGTAGCCAAGGTCAGGGGTCATGGTAGGGGTAGCTAAGGTCAAGGTCACGATAGTCTGTAAAATACTGATTTTAGCCGACTAGTTATTTTGTAGAAGTCAATGATAAGTGGTGTAGAAGTCAATATTAATTTTCGATGTATTCTCGGTGACATATGAAGTCAATTATTCTCGAATTGGACTCTATACTTCCTCTGAATCTCTTGGTGAAAGTCAAAATATCCTTAGCTCTCTATAGAAGCCAAAAAAGTAATCAGAGCCCTCTGTAGAATTAAAAATCTTAATCTTCCATCTATTTAAGGAACCAAAACAAGTAAGGAACATGTATTGACCCATTTAGAAGTCAAAATTCTTCAGAACTTCTAAGGAATTCAAATGAAAGGCCTTACGAAAATAGACATATGTTGATTATCACAGAAGGCAAAATTCTTTAGAACTTCTAAGGAATTCAAATGAAAAGCCTTACGAAAATAGATATCTGTTGATTTTCATAGAAGTCAAAATTACAAGGCCGATCTGTGGAATTCAAAATGACAACCTAAAGGAGAAACGCCCCTTAAGTGTTGTAGAAGCCAATAGAGATAGAGAGACAGGCCCTCCTAAATATTGCCATGGTGGAAGTAAAATATTTCTGTTCACCATTTCTGTGTTGAATTCAAAGGTCCCTCCAACAACCTCCCCTAATCACTGTAGCCCATGAATCCATTCCAATCATTCCCTCAGACACGAATCCAACATATATCTAATCTATGGTGTTGGATTCCTTATTAATGGTTCTTATTTATTTATTTTTAATGCTGATTTGAATGCACAGCTCAAAGACGTAAACATTGTAGGAAAAATTAAATACAAATAAGAAAAAAATAAAATTCATAGAAAAAAACGAAAATTATATGAAAAATATTAATTAAGAATATAAATAAATATACTTCACTATGACATCAGATGTGAAAGAGATTATATTATGTATATATTTATTTAAGAAAGAAAATTACAGTTGAAAAAGTATATGAATATATAAGGAAAATATATATTATATACTTTTAATAAAGAAAAATACCAAAAATAACAGAAAAAAATGTGTTTGTGTCTCATTGAAGAAAATAAATTGCTAAAAAAAATCGCAAAGATGTATAATAAATCGGCAGAAAATTTATTATTAAAATACGATAAAATTTTCTGAATTATAAAATATGAAAAAATAGTAAATAAAAACACTTTTGAGTTTTTAATATGAACAAAAGTTATTTAAAAAAACAGGGATTTTTTTAACCAATTTAATCACGTGTTATTACCCTAAAAAAATTACGAATTTTAAAACACACGTATATATTAATTTAAAACATCCATAAACAACATTAAATTTATCCAAACACCTCAATTACGTGTTATGAAAAAAACCCAAATAAAACAGACGTGCATTCATCTCAAATAACATAAAACTATAGAAAAAACACGTTTACTTTTTCCAAACACCTAAGCTACGTAAGACATATACAGAAAAACACCACAGAAGTGTATCCTTACTAGATAAAACACGGATATATAAACAAAACACTAAATCATGCTTGTTTTTTCCATGCAACTCAATTTATATATATGAACAAGGTGCTTCAATGTTGTCTAATGTATAATAATAAATTTTCCATGTTATCAGTCACTTCTCAATAGTGTATGTATGTATGTAGGTATGAATGTATCGTATGTATGAATGTATGTGTGTATATATGTATCGTATGTATGCATGTATGTATGTATACGTACCATAGAATCATTATACATACACCAGAAACACCATCAGTGTATACATGTATGTAGGTGTGTAGATATAATACTTTCTGGTGTATGTATAAAGATTATGTATACATCATCTCAAAGTCGTAGTCTCATTCTGTCGGGAGATTTTTTAGGGTAGATTAATTTTACACTCATCATTCTCAGCGTCTTCAGGATGTAAACAAAGTGTCATTCATTAACCCTGGAAAAAATAAAATAATCATCTCTTCATTCTTTGTACATGGGTTCATCTCAGTGCTATAATAGGGTAAAGCGGGTGAGGGATATATGTGTATTGTATATAATATAAAGAGAGTATATTATTAATTATATTGGACGCCGCCATGAGCCAAGCTGTTTCTCGTAAAAATGATGAGCCTCCATTTTTCGAGAAACAATGAACGCGCCATACTTGTTGGTGACGTCACAACATGGCGTCGTATAAGGGAAGTGACGGAGTTTGTTTACTTTCCTCTCGTCACTGGACCTCTATAGAGTGTCAATGGCGAGTGTGCGTGTGTCTGTCTGTGTCATCCTCCTCCCCGTCACCCCTTTCCCCCCCCAACCATTTTGTTGACCTTTGACCTGTGTATGGTGGGGTCAAGCTGACCTCTGCCTGCTCATAGGCTGTACATGTTAAATAAAACAACTGTAAGAAATGTCTTTGTTGTTTTGCTTTTATTTATCCTTTATTATGATCAATAATAATTGTCGGGGTCATTTGGGCCCCAGTTATGAAAAAACAAAGCAAATCTTATCTAAATGCAAAAAGAGACGCCCCTTTAAACTGGGGCCAATTACAATTAAGACCCATTACAACTGGGGCCAATTACAACTAAGACCCATTACAACTGGGCCAATTAGAACTGAGACCCATTACAACTGGTGCCAATTACAACTAAGACCCATTACAACTGGTGCCAATTACAACTAAGACCCATTACAACTGGGGCCAATTACAACTAAGACCCATTACAACTGGGGCCAATTACAACTAAGACCCATTACAACTGGGGCCAATTACAACTAAGACCCATTAAACTGGTGCCAATTAGAACTGAATCCCATTACAACTGGGATAATTGGCACCAGTTCTTAAGGCCAAGAAATTAAATCAACAATAACTTAACCTAACCAAACCTAACCTAACGTAACCAAACCTAACCTCCACGTCATTGGTTCAACATTTGGACTTGAACCTGTGGCCTCATCAGTAAGTCCAGAATATTGGACTTAGGGAAATGAACTTAAGATTGTGGAGGTTAATTAACAACCTCAGGGTGAAATTGACAACCTCAGGGTGTAATTAACAACCTCAGAAGGTAATTAACAACCTCAGAGTGTAATTAACAACCTCAGAGTGTAATTAACAACCTCAGGGTGTAATTAACAACCTCAGAAGGTAATTAACAACCTCAGAGTGTAATTAACAACCTTAGAGTGTAACTAACAATCTCAGAGTTTAATTAACAACCTCAGGATGTAATTAACAACCTCAGGGTGTAATTAACAACCTCAGGATGTAATTAACAACCTCAGGGTGTAATTAACAACCTCAGGGTGTAATTAACATAACACCTAATTGTAATATAACAAGGGAACAAGTCCGACGTGTTATCCACAAGGCCAAGGACTTAGAGGGGAGTGAGAAGCAAATGTTAGGACTTGTATCAGATTTGTCCCTTCACAGGACTTGGGATTTTTGGACTTGCGAGTAATTGGATGGAGCTGAACTTGTGTGTGAAGGAATGGATTAACAACCTTGGACTTACGACTAACAGGCCGGACTTAAAAATCTTGGACTAACCACTTAGAACATCGGACTTAAAAGTGAGTGACCGGACTTAAAGGAATTGAATCGTTAGACTTGAGAATGAATAGTTGGACTTTTCTTCAGACTTGAACTATCGGACTTGAGAATGAGTAGTTGGACTTAGGACGTGAGCCAATGATCTACCTTCACCTCAGTAATTACCTCCTTCTTAATGGCCTTCTTGAAGTAGTCGTGAACAATTCCTTGGATCACCCCGAATTTGTTACGGGAAGTTGCTGTTAAAGAAAACGGGAAGTATGTCATTACAATTTACTCCTACAAACAAAAACAATTGAATTTTGACATTGATTTTGAAGAGGATTTTTTTTTATCAGAGGTTAGATTTTTATTCATATTTTGATTTTGATTTTGTTGTCAAAGTTTAGATACCTATACATCACCTAACTCACCTATCCGTCACCTAATTAACTCACACATCACCTATTTAACCCACACGTCACCTAGAACACGTCATCAACACGTCACCTAGAACACGTCATCAACACATCACCTAGAACACGTCATCAACACGTCACCTAGAACACGTCATCAACACGTCACCTAGAACACGTCATCAACACGTCACCTAGAACACGTCATCAACACGTCACCTGCAACACTCACCTCTTCCTTGTATGTCAGATAAGGTCGGGCAGGTGAAGGTGGCCTGATGGCGTTTATGGTCATCCAGGTGAACTTCGAGGATACAGGGGTGACCTAATAGGTTCACTTCACCTTTCCCCTGCTGCCACATCCTAGGGGGAAAATAGGTGAAGGTTAGGTGAAGGTTAGGTTAGGTGAAGGTTAGGTTAGGTTAGGTTAGGTTAGGTTAGATTAGGTTAGGTTAGGTTAGGTAAGGTTAGGTTAGGTGAAGGTTAGGTTAGGTGAAGGTTAGGTTAGGTTAGGTTAGGTTAGGTTAGGTTAGGTTAGGTTAGGTAATGAATCCTGGATGTTATTTTGGGTGCTGAGAGAGAGAGACAGACAGACAGACACCAAGACAGACAAACACCATGACAGACAGACAGACAGAGAATAAATAAAACACCCTATCCAGCAAAATGTATAACAAAATATAGTAAAAAAAACACACACACCAGGAAACTAGAACAAACACGACACAAATATTCAGAAATAAAACCAAACAAAGAAAACAAATAAAATTAAATTCCTGAAAAAACTTTATACACGAAAATAAATAAATAAATGATCAATGACCCAGGTTAAGGTTATTTAAATTACACAAATAACTTAACACCTGAGAACACTTGAAAGCATTGAGTGATTTATTTCAAAATTTCTTTACGTATTTGTGTATGAAAATCACCTTTTTTCTTTACCATGGGATGAGAGAGTTTAATAACGTGATTTAATACAGAAATAATTAAATGAAAGATGTAATTAGTGTGTTGATGTAGTTGTGGGTGATTAGAATTGGAAGACAATATATATTTTTAATTTGGTTTGAGTAATGAGGTGATTTAGTCATTAACCTGGATGAAGTCCCACGTCACACCGTGGTTTAGTCCAAAAGGCCGTAAGTCTGTGCAATAATAACACGACCAAGTCCAATTAAGTCTAGAATAACCCTGTAATTGTTACTTAGTCATCCACTCACTTAAGGAACTTTTAGTAACTTATTGTAATTTTTCATAGTTAAGTTTGACAGTTACAGTTAAGTAAAACAATCTACCAGTTAAGTACGACAATCTACCAGTTAAGTAAGACAATCTACCAGTTAATTAACACAGTCATCTCCACTCACCTCTCCAATTTCTTAACGACGTCTGGCACCAACTCATCCCAGTCTTTACCATGGCACTGTGGAGCCAAGAGTAACACAGTCACCAAGCCGATGAGTACACGTCCCTGCATCTTCTGTTGACAAT